TCATCACTCGCATCGACAGCGCAGCAGAATATATCTCGGCTGCAGGCTGCGTCGTCGCATATTAATTTGCTTCTGTCGTCAAGTGTGTCCTCCAAGTTATTCACGACCTTTGTTTCTGATTCCGTCCAGCGCGCAACCGCCTCCTCCATCTCGAAATCCGGGTAGCCATGGCTACGCTAGCATTCAGCGCCGGGGGAATCATCGCCAGCATTTTCGGGATGAACCTGCTGTCTGGGCTGGAGGGAAATCCCGTCGCGTTCTATTGTATCGTGCCGCTCATCGGACTCGTGTCGTTCACATACTGGCGCATCGGACGTAGCGCTTTAAGCTATGCGCGGCGGCTGAAGATGAGCCAAGCGGGTCTGCTGGGTGGAGCGCTACGTGAGGCACGTATGAGACCATAAGTATTCGCTTTACTATCGAAGTGCTGAGTGATGAAGAGATGCTTGGTGAAGGGCAAACTTTTCTTGAGTCTCGTCCACCACCTGTAAGTGCTGCGCTACGATGGTTTCTTGCCCCTGTACGTCATGATGGCCGGATGGGTCACTTCGAAGATGGTCTAGTTTCTGTGTTTCTTTTTTGTGGGCTTGATGTGCATCCAAGTAATTTAAGCGTGCATTCTCCACGTCCCACTGTTTCCGCTGAACAACAGCCGTGTTTGCAGCTTTGAGAGTCTCTTTGTACTCGCTTTCTGCAGCTTGGTATGCAGCGTGTGCGTCGTGCCTTTCTCTTTTCGCTTTGTCAAGCGCAATGCCGTTCCTCCGATGCTCTTCGGCTGCCGTGTCGTAGCGGGGTCTTCATGTCCTCCCAGCTTGGCGAGCCCTCAGGGGTTGCAGACCATTCGGTATGTGCACGCCAGGTGTTTGCTTCAGACCAAATGTATTCCTGTGCTGCTGGTGGGTATGCAGCAGCTGTCAGCTACTTTTCATGTAGTGCTTTGGCTAAAATGGACCCTTGATTGGTGTTGACGTCTATGGCCTGCTGAGCGGCTTCATGCAACCTTGAGCCTTCTTGCATGTGCTGCTCCCTGTCTACTGGTGATTGCAAGCTGTTGTGATGAGAAGGGCCACTCGATGTTGCCCCAGGATACTGTCCCTCATCCATGGGGCTTCGCTTCCTACAATGCGAGTCAATGACAAGTCTCATCGTAAAATCAAAGGGCGATGGGCCGTTGCTCACGAAAGATATCCCTCCTCCGAAGAAAGCTCACTTGTGAATGGCTGGACAGGGTGGGTAAAAACAGCTGTCGAGAAGAGTGCGAGAAAGAGGATGGTTGGAATATGCATGACGACAACACTGCAATGGGAGAGTGGGTTTTCTGAGTAGGGGTTGAAGCGAGGAAAGTGGATTGTTCGGATCAAGGTGTGAGTGACCAGCACTATGAGACCAGCTCTGGGGCAATACATACCTGGCTAATCTTGCGATTTATGTTTTCTCAAAAGGCAATGACGAGGTAAAACATGGACCTGATGTGTTTCACTAATAAGTGAGCATATACAGCTAAATAAAATAGGTAATAGAGTAGTTGTTACATACGAGTCTCCGCACGGGGAGTACTGCACGGGGCCGAAGACGTCGACGTTAGAGGTGAGTACAGCCGTCTACCCCTCCCCGACCTCCCTGAGAGAGGGTCGCACAACATCGTCTCCTACGGGTACGTCCTCTCCCCACCTCTTGGTTCTTGTGGGTTAGGTACCCAGTAGCATCGCAGCTAATGAGTGCAGGACGTGCAAGGCTGGAATGATATTCTTCGATGTTACCGATCCTGCCCACCCAATCGAATTAGAGTGCGCCTCTGAAGACGGCTACGTGCATGAGTACGTCCCACTTCTTCCCCCTCCCACACCTCCTAACCATCTTCACGGCTAATTCTAAGGCATGCGTGTCGTGGCGGCAGAGGTAAGCCGGATTGATATTCCGATTGACGCCTTACAATGACACATGGACCGTCCAGGTCACACGCGCAACGATAAGAATTCAGCGATAAGCATTCAGGTCAATATATACCCCCAGAGAGGCACTCGACGCTGTCGGTCTCCTCCTTATCAACAACGACCATGTACCGTCTCGCACTGCTCTCACTCCTCCCCTCTGTGCAAGGGGCCACCGCTCCTCGACGCACATCCGAAGTGGTATTCAACCATCAAACCGACTTCTATGCCTCCAAGGAGATCTACACCCAGGGCCACGTCCATATGCAGCTCATGGACAGCATGTCCGCCGCCGTGGCAGGGATGCGTGCCGACCCCGTCCCAGGCAATCTGTGGGATACGATGACGTTGGACGCGATTAGGAAGTATACGCCTTGCGTGAATGGGTTTTCTGGCAACCTGGAGGACGAGAGGAGCACATATGCGTGCAGCGGTGTCGATCTCGCCTACTTCATGCCCCACGCACTGCTAGGCTCCACCGAGCGGGTACGTCTCCCATCTTTCACTTCCATCAACTACTCTACTCACACCCCGTTAGATAGGGAACGACATCTGGGGCTGGACCCACTGTGGGCGCGAGTTCGGTCTCATTGGCCAAATGGATGGCACCGCGTTCGTCGAGCTGCTCTCCTCGCCTTCCGGCCTGGAAGTGCTCTACCTCGGTAGGCTGGCAACGCAAAGTGTTACGAGTATATGGAGGGATATCAAGGTTCTGGGGCACTTTGCATACATAGGGAGCGAGGCAGAGGGACACGGGATCCAGGTGTTTGATTTGACCCAGGTGTGCCCCCCCTTTCTCCCCACTTCAAGGACTCAACTGACTGTGGGAGTAGTTGTTGGATACGAGCCTCCGCACGGGGCCCAAGACGTTCCTCACTTCGGAACTGACAGCCGTCTATCCCCTCCCCGAGGGAAGGTCACACAATATCGTCTCCCACGCTGAGAAGAACCTTATCGCCGCCGTCGGTTCCACCCCTCGGAACGGGTACGTCCTATCCCCACTTCCCGGTTCTTGCGGGTTCCATACCCAGTAGCATCGCAGCTGATGAGTGCAGGACGTGCATGGCTGGAATGATATTCTTCGATGTTACCGATCCTGCCCACCCAATCGAATTAGGGTGCGCCTCTGAAGACGGCTACGTGCATGAGTACGTCCCACTTCTTCCCCCTCCCACACCTCCTAACCATCTTCCCCTCCCTGCAGTGCCCAATGCCTGACTTACCACGGCCCCGATACCGCTTTCGAAGGGCATGATATCTGCTATGCTTACGCCGAGGACTCGCTCACGATATGGGACATCACCAACCCGAGTGAGAGCCGGATCATCAGCAGCACGCCGTATTACGGTGTCACGTATTCCCATCAAGGGTGGGTGGTAGATGAGTTGGATCAGAGCTGGTTGCTGCTTGACGATGAGCTTGATGAGCTCGAGAGGCGAGGTATGTCCTTTCTTCTTTGTCCATTCGCATCATCTATCTCGCTCCTTTGCCTGTGTAAAGTACTGACGCAGAGCAGGTTGGGCAGCAGACAACCACACCACGACGTACATATGGAATATCCGCAGCCTCGAGAAACCCGTCCTCTCAGGGTACTACAAGAGCCCTGTAAAGAGCATCGACCACAACCTCTATGTCCACGTATGCCCCTCCTCCGTCCCCCGATGAGACGTGCTCAGACCTGTAGAAAGGACTCGCGTTTGAGTCGAACTACAAGAGCGGGCTGAGGGTGCGCCGCCCGCTATGTTAGGCTCTGTCAGATAATCTCATCGGCTTGTCTCAGATCATCGATGTTTCCAGCGTAGCACAAGATCCCTCTGGCGGATCCTTCCGCGAAATCGGGTTCTTCGACGGTACGCCCCTCCCCTCCCGCTGCAAATCGAGCACAACACTGACTCCCACCGTAGTACATCCAGAGGATGATGCCGAAGGCGGTGTGGTCGAGTTTGGCGGTACATGGTCCGTATACCCGTATTTCGAGAGCGGCTATCTGCTGGTGAACTCTATGGAGCGTGGGCTGTTTGTACTCAAGCTGGCAGCTTGAGTTGGAAGCGCCACCCATCTGATGTGGAATCAGGAAGAAAGGACGTATGAGGGGAGCAGATTTGCTGATGGAGGAATGAAAGTTGCTGTTCGAATTGAGCCCTTGAAGTGTTTTTTCCGAGCCTTTGTACGAAGCCATGCTGGGTATTCTGTAACAATTTGCTCGTTTGTTGTTATAAATAAGCACGACACGACAAGGCTGGCAAGGGTTTATTAGTAGTCTTTTCTCATGCACCAGGGCAATGAGCTGTCCTCAAATGCCTCTTGCGAGCAGGGACCCAGAGGCAGGGCTATCGGTGCCCAGCGTTTATTACCAACCATCATTCTGCGTCACCCACTGCCTCTCCTCCTCTCATACCGTGGCGTCCTACGCAGACCATTCACCGAATACCCGTTAGTGAAGTCGGGGAGTTAGATGAGTCCCAGGCCCATGAGGCCAGCATATACATACTGAGGACTTGGCAGTTTCATGAGGACATCCCCTGAGGATGTGATGATGGGTGGTTAGCATGGCGTCGCTAGGTGGGAGGACACCAGGTTGGCGGATATTTCATTCTTTTACCTAGCAGCATACATAACATTCAACAACGGGTGTCTGACCGCCTCAAGAAAAGAAAAACATAGTCCAGGCAGTCTCTTCACACACCTCTGCGGGCAACTTCAGCAACTACGCATCGCTCTCATCCGTAGTATCAAACGGGCTCTTGACGGCCTCCTCTGCCCTTTCCTTTCTTGATCCAGCCCCGATCGAGGCCGCATATCCTCCGTTCCTAGGCGGTGTAGGTGGGGGGACCCTCAAGCTCTGAGCGCGGCGCGGCGGCAGGCTGGGGGGCAACGCAGGCGCACGGGTCGTCCCCGCCGACAAGGGCTGACGGTCCCCTGCCCCACCTGGGAGGTCCGCATCGCTCGCCTCTTCGTCCGGTCCTCCATCGGACTCGTCCGTCTGGATCAACGATTTCCGGCGGGCTGTTGATTGGCCCAGAAGGGGTGCAGATCTCGGGGGCGTACGCGGCGGGATCTGAAGTTTGCCTAGGGAGGAATGTCTTGATGGCGGCTTTCGTGGGAGTGGGGGACGGAGAGGATCCACCATTGTATTGCTCGGTTTCCAGTTTGAGGGATCATGTTCCGCCAACTCGTCCTCTTCTGGCGGTTCGGCAGCGACCTCTGCCCAGCCTGTCTCGCCGCCCCATCTACGGCTGCCCTCCCTCTTCAAGGTATGGGAGTGCGCACGTTGGTGGTAGGTTGATGGGGCGGGGGAGGTACAATCCGAGGAGAGGGAGATGGAAGGGGAAAGGGAGTGCAGGGAGTGAGAGGAATGTAGCGATCGGGCGGAGAGACGACGTCCGAAGGGTGGGATAGGAGCGAGAGAAGCGCGCGAAGAGCGTTTGGGCATGCTTGTCCTGTGATCGCTTGATTCTTGTTAATAGCAGGTCAATAGGAAAGGGAGGAGGGGACGTACGCGATCCCTTCCGCTAAAAGCTGGTCCTTGACACTTGTGAGTGCGTCCCGGTATACGGCTACGAACTCGAGTTCTTCCTCTACGAGCTGGACGGTTCGGGCAAGGAGGGACTGCTCGAATTCTTCGATCTCTAGCACGCGGGACTGGACGGTGCTCAGGGCTGTTTCGCTGGAGGTCGGCTGGTAAGGCAGGGGGGATGTAATAGCTGGAAGGGAGAACGTACTACGCCGAATAGGAACGCGAAACATCATCTTCCATCGCTTCCGCGTTCTTTTCCTTTGCTCGCTGGAGTCGATTGACGCTCGTCTCGTGCGCTTGTCTGGGTTCATGTTAGCCCAAAGCAGTACAGGGTATGTGCCAAGCAGGGGGATAACGATGCATGACGTACCTCTTCTTCTCGAGCCCTTTCCTCATGCCCTGAACCTCCTTGACCATCCCCAGCCCGCTCTCCAACGCGCCCTCCCATCCCTCAGCCCATCGTTTGCCCCATTCTCGCCAAGCGACATACACCTCCTCCCTCGCCCGTCCATACGCTGCCATCCCACGACCAAACGGCGTCTCCCCGTGCGCATCCCCGTATGCCTGCAAATGGAGAGCAAGGGATTCCTGAGGATTGAGCTTCTTCATCCCTCCTATACTTGACAGCGGAGCGGCAGGGTCGGGCAGGTCCTTACGCTTGTAGAAGGCGCGAGTATAGGCCTGGGAGACGAGCACGAGCCTTTCTAGCCCGCGACGGCGGAGTTGGAGGTCAGAATCGAGCGCGAGGAGGTCGTCGTCGAATGCTGATGAAAGCTCCATCTCGGGCGGGGATCGAGGTGAGGAAGCGGGTGATGGGGAACGGGGAGAGTCTGGTCCTTTTAGGTCTTTTGCAAAGCCTTTGCCCCACTGAGGAGTGTTAGCATTATAGATGATGGATGGGGATACGCACTTTGCGGAGTTTCCCGAGCTGGAATTGTGAGTGTGGGTTAATCAGATAGCGAAAGAGCAGACGCACCGACATCCTGTTCCCCTTCGTGGTCTTGTGTGTTGAAGATCCAAGTGCGTATTGTCTATTTCACAAGTACAAAGCAATCAATTGACCCCAGTGAAGACCAAGCAAGTATATGGTGGTAAAGAGGAGAAACGTGTGCTGCCCTCCCCTTACCCCTGGCGTCCAACCATTCATATTTTATATTCCCTGTCCAACGCCCTCCATCCAGACGCACACATGCCGCAACGGCGGGACCCTGACTGCCACGTGCATGACACGCACTCTCTTCAAGTTCTCATGAACGCTGACTCGACAGTATTCACAAAGTCTATCCATCCATATTCAACACCACTCTGATGGATACGTCTTGCTTCGCTGATTTGAGCGACGCATGGTACAATTGGGCTGCAAACAAGCTTTGACGGAGGTTGCAGACTTCGGGTGCTGGCGAGATTTGGAAGAGGAAGGACGCGGATGGTCAACGCCACCTCTGGTAAGTCTCCGTGGTGGTATTATGGCGTACGTGTCTGAAATGCCAATCATCGTGTAACATCGAGTGCTCTCTCGATTCATAGATCGACGGTCTGCTCGTCGCTCTTGGAGCACGCTCCTCACACCATGGCTTTATACGCTTCTCCAGCGTGATAACAAACCGCAATCAATTGTCAACATAACTCATATTACCCTCACTCTGCTAGGGCCGTTTCTTGTGCACGTCTGACATCGTTGGATCGACCACTTCGAAGGTGTTCTAGGCCGTTTGTTGCTGCCCGCTCATTCATATGGGGGAGGTCGTTGGCTATTATCCACATGTGTCTGAATCTTTTCGTCAACCGCGCTTTTAATGAGCTTGGCTGCTGTGTAGTCCTTCTCTGCCTCATCATATGTCTCCTGAGTCTTCTGATAGTCTGATGTCGCAGTCATAAGCGCATGCTGGTTGGTCGTATGCTTGTTGTGTGCCTCCTTGAGACGGTTACTCGACCTTTTGAATGCTTGCGAGCCCGGCGTCTTGCGGCCCAAACGTGTCCTCTCGTCCTGCACTGTCTTTGCCGACTGTGTGTGATCTTTTTGTGCTCCGTGCATTACCAGGCGCGCAGCGTGCCTTGCCGTTCTTGCCTGACCAAAATTTTTCTTGTGAGTTTGGACGAAGTCGTTGGCGAGTCCGGAAGCCCTCCAAAGGTGGGCGCCTTGTTCTGTCCGTCTCTGCTCCTCCGTAGGGTTCACGGGGCTTCGCTTCCTACGAGGGTCATGGCCTATCTTCAAAACAAGGGGCAACAAGCTCACCAAGGAGATCCGTCCTCCGATGAAAGTTCACTTGTGAACGTCTGGACAGGGTGGGCAAAGACAGATGTCGAGAAGAGTGCGAGAAAGAGGATGACGGGAATACGCATGACGGCAACGGTGTAACTTGGAAGATTGGGTTTTCTATGACGACAACGGTGTAGCTTGGAGAGATTGGGTTTTCTATGACGACAACGGTGTAACTTGGAGAGATTGGGTTTTCTGAGTAGGTGTTGAAGGGATAAAAGTGGATTGTTTGGAAGGTGTGAGTGACCAGCACTATGAGACCAGCTGTGGGGCAATACCTGTCCAATCTCACGGGTTTTTATGTCTTTGGAGCAAGGTGATGACGAGGTAAAGCATGGACCTGACTTGTTTGACGAGGATACACTGTTCGATGTTGCCCCCTTGACTTCTCGCACAACTAAATTGGGTTTGTTGAGGAAACGCATTTCTCCTTGGATAGTTTGGACCCCTCTAAATTGCTTCCATTTTAGGTATCAAGGGCTATGGGATGTCATCCAGTCTACGACGGAGTGCATATGGGAGTTCAGCGTACATGGCAACAGCTGAGGCATTTTGAGGCAGGTCGTGCATGCGGGGATACAATTACTAAACAGAAGGAGTCTTTTCATTTCAGCGCCTGGAGACGAACCCCTGCGTCGGAGCTTCTCTCCGACATGTAGAGGACACAGTCAATTAATTGATTTTGTTTCAAGGAGGAATGTCTGCTTATACCAATTCAACATGAGCACAAGTTTCTGAAACATTCTATGGTCGTTGCAATTCTGCTTAGAATGCACAGGTATACTCGAACGAGAGGCAGTGCTCACTCAACATGCGGCACTCTCCACGCTCAGACCGTAGACTTCCCCCCCCCTTGCCACAGTGGGTGACATCCCGTAGGATCTGCGTGCCCCACGCAGATACGCAGATTGCGGCATTTGCTCATGCCGGGGTGACAGAAGCACATTTTCAAACTCCGAGCCTCATGCAGATATGCTCAGGGTTCACGCAGATTTTTTTGAGCATGGTAGATCCTCACGGATGTTTTCTGCATGTGGTCCCAAGGCTGCGCCACACGTGTCATACATTATGCACATGGTTAGGCTGTGCATCATCTACCATCAACAACAATGATGGACCCCACTCAAGAGGACATCTATGCACCCTTGCCATCTTTACCCCCGTGGCCTATGCTTCTGTCTGCTACCAGCTTGCCATCATCTCAGCCATCCTCATTCCCTCAGTATGCAGCCTTGTCTTTCTCAAGCTACCCCTCCTCCTCCCTCTTCAACATATCAAACCATGTTCTTGGCCTGCACCTTGAAGACTCACCTGCTTGTGTTCCTCCACAGGCTGTGCAGGCTGCCCCTTCCACCAAACACAAGACACAACCATCCAGCAAAGATCCACCAAGCCAGAAACACATCAGCAAAGGCCAGCCTCAGGGGTCAAGGGGCTACACCAACATTGAGCTCTCCAGGTTGATTGATCTGGTAGAGGAGCATTGTCCTATCAGTTTGGATGACTGGGACAAGATTTTGCAGGCATGCAGTCTTATTGGGCAGAGCACTTGACTCTGGTGAGGACATTGGATAGCATCAAACACAAATTTTTTGAAGTATGTTGCTGCATGTTAGGATGCACATCCTCTGAACTCACACTGCTCTAGCTTGCACATGCTCCCAAGCCCATGGGCAAGGGCAAAATGAGTGAGGCCATCTGACATGCCAAAGCAGTCAACCTCCTCATTCAAAATGAAGTCAAGATGGGGAACTTACAAGATGAAGATGGGGGGGATGACTCAGATGTACTCAACTGGCCCACCTCAGACCATGAGGAACATTTGAAGGCTGTGCAGCCTATGTATTTGACTCCAGTGACAAACACTCTGAGTCCTGCAAGCAAGGTACTTGTCAAGCAATGACATCATGTTAAGGATTTGCCCAAATCCTGAAATCAATTGGACCATCTGGTGCTTCTGTCCAATGTTTGTCTCACCTTCAATCCTCAGGTGCAGGCTGAGCATGCCATATTCCAGAGCGAGATCACTGCACTCCAGGCTCAGCTCCATGACAAGCAGCAGGAGCTTGTTGATGTTTCCTGTGACAAAGACAAGATAATCGAAGGTCTTCATGTGCGGCTCCTGGAGGATGTGCATGCCCACCTTGGTGTCCAGCAAGAACTTGACATGATGAAGGCACAGCTGGAGTACCAGGAGCAGATGAGGACAATGATGATGGGTATGGGGAACATGGGCACTTGGATTGTGCAGTCTATGAATGCCCCTCCCCATGCTGAGGCCTTGCAGCCTTAAGGATGCACATTATTTGAGGGCAGCCTTGTTAGTAGTTACTGCTCGTCTACCACAACATAATGAAACGTAGCCACCTGATCTGCCTTATGAATGTCAGGGAAACACATGTCCTTTAGCTTGTTCCATACCCTCCTCTGCTCCTCTGTTTCAGTCCAGATTGGCTTGTATACTGTCTTCAGCTGGTTGATACCAACCATGCACACCCTGATCTGGTGCAAGCAGAATACTGTTTCTAGCAGCCTGCGCCAGTCTCTGGAATCATTTGCTTTGAGAGGCAATTGCAGCCTGCCAAATGAGCCTTGTATTGCTGTCAGGGCACCAGCTCATTGCTTGGTCAAGAGACATGACTAAGCCTTTATGACATGGAAGTAGCTGGTATACCTTGGCATGTGCTGGAACCTGCTGGAAGGATTGGATGGTCA